AGGTATTATCCTGCTATTCCATTGCACTCTTGTAAATAATATTTTTATAATTTGATTCAGTTTCAATTCAAATAGACATTTCTATCCATATACAGCAAATACACAATAGTTAGGTACTTTTTAGGTACTTTATTTATCCAGCACCCGATTTCACGAAACTCATCGTAACTTACGATGCATCGCAGCGCTGCGACGCATCGAATCCCTACGATGCGTCGCAGCTGCGACGCGTCCTGCGATCCATTTCACAAAACACGTCGTAAGTGCGAGCACAACTCGGTGACTGTTTTATGTATTAAGTCGGCGTACAGTAAATAGTCGTCTGGTATTCAACAAAGAGTCGTCGGATCTCCGCTCAAAATTTGTTAAAACGTAGGACAAAATGGCGGCTGTGCGATGCAATTTTAAAGGAAAACGAGGTCTCAGTGGACTGTGTAGCTACTTTGAAATTTCAACTGCAACATTCCAGGCTAATTCATAATTATTCAATGAATTTTCTATTTACAACTTTACACACATTGCCTCGGTATTATAATCTCGTTTATGTGATGTTTATGGCACAAAACTGGCTAAAAACGGACTCTTCGTATTTTGCGACGACCACTAGACACGTCGTAACTTGCGATGTGTTTTGAGCCGTTGTCAAGGAACTTACGAAGCGTTCAACACATCGCAACTTTCGTGAAATGGATTATACGACGCGTCACGAGTTGCGACGCGTTACACGTTGTAACTCGAGTTGCGACGCGTCGCAGCGCTTCGTGAAATCGGGTGCTGAATACATAATGTCTGTGATTATCGCAATTTTACTTTTAAGCCAGAGTCTTATTAGCTTTTCCAATAATGACCATTGGGCTCATCACGCACATCTTGGCATGCCAATCACACAACACTGTTGTAAAAAAAGTAATGAATTCCTTTTCTCTGAAAAACAATGTGCCATTCTAGAAAACTACGCTCCACACTGACAAATGAGCAATGCCACACTTGAAATGCTGTACAAATGCTGATCTCCTTTGCCTTGTATTTATCGCCTTTAAATTTGAAACCAATCTTAGGGATCTGCTAGGCACAACATGTTACTAAGCACAGGAAATATTTGCTAAGCTTTTTCCAGGTTACCAGCTAAAATGCCATGGGATTTGTATTTCTTGTGACTGGTGCTCAGCTGATTTTGCTTAGCATTGTTTTCTTCGCCATAAATATCGCCTAGTAAAAGGAAACTCTTGTACCGGTATTTGCTTTGATGATGCATAGTTCACATTATAACACCTCACCCACAGATTCAATATCTTGATTGGCCGAGAGCTAGTCACATGACATTCGCTACTTTTGCTATCTTGCTGTGCACGGCCAAAAGTACTATACCCGTAGTAACCAAAGTACTATACCCATAGCAACCAAAGTACTATACCCGTAGCAACCAAAGTACTTTACCCATAGCAACCAAAGTACAAATACGCATAGCAACCAGTATTGTGTGCAAATGCATACGTTCAAACATTTCGTGAAGGGATAGTTTGAAAAAGTGCTAGTAAATTTTCAATTAATTTTGTATTCAAATAGAAGTACATTTTAATTGTATTTAGATTAAATTAAACACTTATCGCTTAAAATCAAGCAGAATCTGTGGGAGAGGTGTTATAAAACAATTATTGACTGCTTTTATTATTATCTCGTGGTGTAGTAAAACTAGCCTCCCTCGGTGATCCATGGAGCATTCTATTTTCCCTCGGCTTCGCCTCGGCAAATAGAATGCTTCATGGATCACCTCGGGAGGCTAGTTTTACTACACCACTCGAAGCAGTCAGTATTTGTGTATGTCATTCACAATAGACTGTGCTGAAATACATTTTACATGTTACCTTCCTCAGCCTTCCCTGACAGAAAAGTAGCTCCTTCCTTCACTTTATTTAAAGCTGCCATTTTGAAATTACCCCCTACCCAAAATTTATCATCATTGATTCTAAGCAGAATTTAAAAATTCAGTGATTTGATACTAAATTTGTTTATTTTTGGTATGAATAAAGCAATATGCATTCCGTTAAATGCAATTTTTTTTTTTTTAAATAGAACAGGAGTTGTAAATAGTGTATTTTTGCTATTCGTTATTTTGTTCATAATTCAAATTTTGCTTATACTGATGATCACCGATTATTTCTTTACTAAAAGGGAAGTAATTCCACCTGTTATTCTTATGTACAGTATTCAGTTTTTGGATTATTCTCTTTTTATGATTTGAGCTTTGAGATATATTCAGTAAGCCTGATGCTTGATATGGAAAAATTAACAAGTACAAAATGGCTACCATTGATTTAAGAATTTTTTTTTTTCCTAACTTGATCTTCCGTCCACTGACGCAGTATTGCCTTGACGTATGCTTAATGAATGTACATGTTTATGTGATAAATGCTTATGAAAATAATGTATTCAACTTCGGAGAAATGTCATTTTACCATGTTTACTGTCGGCTGTATGTACTTGAATTTGAGGCTATATACATGGCCTTAATTTTAAAGATCATACTTAATTGGAAACGACTACAGAATGGAACAAAGCCTTGCTAGTAACGTTTTTCTGATCAGATGCTGCAAGTATTTTATTTCGTACTGTCAAAAGTACAGAATTTTCTCTTACTTCAAGCCAGTTTTAAAGGGAATGTACAACATTTGCTTTTGCTGCAATTTCCAGAAATAAATGGATTTGGAGGATTAGTATGTTATAGCAAATATTGTTAGACTGACTAGTTTCACTTTTTGGGCTTGTAGATGCTGGAAACCAAGAAAACCAATCATGTTCTTGTAGTCTGGTTCCCTAACCCTACTTAAGATGAAACGGAGCAATTTATAGACTTTGGGAATTGTAAGGTCAGAAAATCAGTCTGGCAGGCTTTTACTCCTTCACAGGTTTGTAATCAATTGCAAAAAAAATGCAGAATAACTAAATATGAGAAAACTAGGAGCAGTTTTTCAAAAAAGCCAGTTTTCTCCAACGCTGGTCGGCCGACCAGCGTTGGAAAAACAAATGTTTGCAAATGTTGTATCTTCCCTTTAATGCAAAGTTACAATTCTAATATTGATATTTTTTTTTGTGATTTTTTTTTTATAAAAGTTGTATTTCAGTTGCATTTCTTCAATTACAAAAATAAAGAAAAATCATATGGATCATGTTCAATATAAAATTTTCATTTAAGTTACTAATGGTTGTATTATACATCATATTTAAAGTTAAAATAAAAATTCTCATCATGACATTTTAATTTTTATACAACACCTGAATAAATCCCTGTCAACTGATCGGTAGGTCATTGATCACATGTCATTGAATTATTCGTCCCAACCCACGGCCTGACCGCACCGCCAAAATAGTTGTTCTATTTCACGGTAAATAGAAGTTCCATTCATGGTCACACTATTAGTGGCTCTGGCCAATCAGATGACAAGGATTTATTCAGGTGTTGTATAAAACAAATAATCAACGTGCAATGGAAAGAATAATTTCATTCGGCGACAGATGGAATGTTCCATTCTAGTCAACTTCGCTTTGTGGAATGGAACGTTCCAATTGTCACTTATTTAAATTATTCTTGCCATTGCACTCATAAACATTCGTAATTTGTATACTTTTGTTTGTGTACTAAACAACCTTTGTAATGAAGACTGTTTGCAATGTTTTTCTCTTGGCAGAATACGTTTCAGAGGTTACTGTCAGTCGCACTTCGGCACTCCATACTTGTGTTTTTAATTAATATGTTCATGAATGAAATACATTGTATTTATGCCTTGCTGATTTCAGATGTGTTAAAACCAAATGCTATTGTTTCATAATGTAATTTAACAGTCACTGTTGTACAAAGATCCCATATCACAAACTTAATTTTCCGAGTATATATCGTATATACATGTATATCAAGTGTGATTTTTTGTTCTTAATAAAATATGCCATTTAATGCTACTACGAATCTTGGAACTTTTATGCAGTGTTATCTTACATAGCAATACAAACTTTCATTTACTTATAAAATGAGTAAAACGAAGCTTTGGAAGGACGGTTGAAAGCTAAGTGTCGTAAGCTCAAGCCCTGGAATATTTGACTGATATTACATTACGTTCCCCCCCCCCCCCCCCCCCGCCCCCCCTTGTTTCAGTCATAAGGGGAGACTTTGAACACACCTACCCAACCCCTTCAAAGATTTTCCTGTCCACTGATTAGATATACGTACTGTTAAACTGCTTGGATGTGCTTCACAAAAACACTATTACAAACCATTGCTCAGTTATTTTTAACCCAAATCTTCCAAGATCCCTCAAAATCCACCAGACGGTTTCAGAGGACTTTAAAAACATTTTAGGAAGGTAGGGCCCAGCCACTATTACTTTTTCCCTCGCCGGGTGTGAAACACGCCGTGGGCTTGAGCTGCTTATGTTGGTTGGTTGGTTGGTTGGTTGGTGGACACTTTAGTCGGCCACATATTGTATTCATGCAACTCGAGTATTACAGCTTTGCATTCAAAGACCTGTTTTGCAAACACTGTTGCGCATGTGTCTAATTTGCATATTTATGCATATCAGATCACGCCCCATTTGTTTTTGTTTTCTGTACTCTGAGGTACCGGTACGGCCCAGGTGCACGGATGGTGCCGTAAGCAGTCTCCACACGTTACCCAGCCGCCGTGGGTTGTACCACTTGGTACTTTTTACTCTGAACATGATGCGCCTTGAACGTCTAAAGACGGAGAAATGTGCCTCTGGTTTCCTGCCTAGTGTCGGATTTTGGAGGTTTTTTCGAAAGCTTACGAAATTGAAGTTGCAGTTAAAAAAGGAGGAACTTTACAGAAACAGATCAGCGTTGTCAAAGAAGTCCACGTGCTTGATGCACTCTGGCAGGAAGCCTTGATCACCGGCCGCAGCGCTGTGCACGTACCCCTTCCCGTAGCCCAGGTCCCTCATCAGCTTGGTCGACCCAGGTCGGAGGTGAAGGGGCACGCCCGGCAGCGAGCCCTCGTACTCCTGGATGTGCTTCTTGACACTCATGAGGGCGCACTCCACCATGCTGGACTTGGGGGCCTTGGATAGGTAGATGACGCACTGAGCCAGAATCACCTGAAAATTATTTGCAAGAACATAAATCATGATGATTCTTCTAGTAGTTATTCTTCTGTGAGTAGTATACTAAAACTTATCCCACTGTAGGAGCCAAGAGGAATGTCAGGGGTTAATTCCTTACATTCCTGGGATACGAATTCAAGCACAACTTTGAATAATTTCAAGTTGGCGTTACTACAAAACACATACAGCCAATTAACCTACCGCGGTAGAATCGCGTCAACGCAGCTTGTGGAATATTGCCCAATTGCAATGATCCAAATGGATGCAGAATGCGTAAGGGGCCATTCAGAATTTTCAATGTTTTAAAATTTCGATCTTTTTTCCAAATTGGGGTGGGTGGGTCAAGCTAAATAATTGAAAATCGAAATTCACTTTCCATGGAAAAAGATAAAAAAAGAAAAGAAAGATAGATCTTTTGACTTGCCTGAACTACGCGCAAGCGTTCCGATATCGCGATGCGTGTTTCTTTTCCAACTTCGTCCCCTGTATGTACTGTACATGTACGTCATGTACGTGTATATAGACCCACTGTGGCATGAGAAGAAGGTGGTTTTTCAGTAGACTTGGACATCGGGCGTTTGTAGCGGTTAGGCCGTGCAGAGGCAGCAGGGTACCAGGTGTACTAGATCGGCTCTATAACAATCTGATGTTACGCGATGTCATGCAAACGCCCGTTCTGCTCATAATTTACACGCAAGCGTCTCGCACCTGTCTCCCTGCGTATTCATGCGCCCTCGATGCATGTTCGATTATCCCGAAATACTGAACTGGCTTATTGTAGAAAGATCCCTCTGCATTCATCGATGGCCACAATGGGAATTTGTTTCTTTGATTGAGAGCCAATTTACGCTACAATCTAATGGGGGTAACAAATTTTATACTCACCTCACAAGCCGGAACACCAAGGAAATGACATGCCTGGTGCGTTGACACAGCTTGACTCAATGCCAGTGGATCAGCCAGACCTATGGAAGAAAAAACAACCAGTGTCAAAAAGAAGACAACTACATTTAAATGTGTAAGAGCACCCTCAGGAAATAAAAACACAATTAAAAGGCTTCTTATTGGAACTTCTAGTTTCATCTGATTAAAAATCCTGCTTTAGATGCATTGCTTTGTGAGAAAGGTCAGGATCAATACTTGTAAATATTCAAATACCTTCAAATCATGATACTCACCCACATCTTCACTGGCGAATGCAACGAGTCGACGTGCAATATACAGTGGGTCTTCACCTCCGATGAGCATACGTGCCAGCCAGTAGAGGGCAGCATTTGCGTCGCTGCCACGCATTGACTTGTGGAGCGCTGAGATGCAGTTGTAGTGCTCCTCCCCTTTTTTTTGGGTGTGAAAAAGATGAAAACGCAATTTGATTAGTGTATATCACTAAAGACTACATGTATATAAGTAACTCCCGAAGCAAGTTCCCAAAAACAAGGGCAGCATCTATCTTGTGATGCCCATGCCTGCAATGATTTCCAAAATCAAAATGCACCAAAAACTTTAAAAACATTTGCAACATTGCAATCGTGATATGCACTCCAATTTCTCAAAAATATTTCCCAATTTTCCAAACCACTCCTTCTGCATGTCATGATCTGGTACATGGTTCCCTCTGGAGACATGTGCACAATAGGGAACAAAAGATTGTATACGTCTCCACAAGGCAATTTCTATAGGTGAATATGTCTCCACAAGGTTATCACGAAATAGATACATGGATTTTACTCAAAAACTAGGAATTTCCAAGGTGTGTTGATCGGTCGCAAATTGAAGTATTTTATGCAAGGGATATTAAGTCCGAAATTTCAGTCCAGGAAATTAATTCTGGTTAAAATAGGAGCATTTTGAAAGGACACTTTCAAACTCGAAAACTTTACTAGATGAGAACAAAGAAATGACTGTACAGGGATACAAATTGCAGTATGTGTGTTTCTGTATGTTTGCCAACTTTTACTCTAGTTAGTTTACTCTCAACCTGTTCAAAATCAAATTTTTGGTTAAATAGATGATATTTTTAAAATTACCTTCCCGATCATACATTACGTGGGTCCTCTGCAATACATCCTTAACATGGCTTGTCGTAATGACTCGCTTCGTTTCGGCACCCTTGGCAACTCCTGGCCCATTCACGGGTGGACACGACGTCCCGTTCGTCCCCTGATGCGACGTCCCTTGCGATTGGCTTGTTGAATGTTGGGCCACGGTCAGCTGCGATTCCACAACCATCTGTAACGTGTTGAGGGCGCTCCGTGCGTCGCCATCGCAGAGATTGGCTATATACGTCAACGCTGTCTTCTCCATGTAAATGGATGGTCTGCATAAAAACAATGACTTTAAATTGCTCTGGGGGTACTTTTACTTTTTTTTAAACTGATTATCAGAAATAGTCTGAAAAACAAAGAACTAAAAACAAGAACTCCTGTTCTCTTTGAGAAGTGGTAATGCCATTTGTGTCAGAATCTGTGAGGGGGGGGGGGGCAGGTTGTTTAGTTAATAAAAAAATCAATATAGCTGTACATCTACTGTGTATCTTCCATTTCTGGTGTGGGACCCATCTCAGAAAAGTCTGCACTGCCTTATCCAAGAGCGCTGGTGACCGCTACTCTCTTTTTACGAATACTGCGAAGGAAACACTAAGCATTGTGGGAAGCAACTACCTTCTTTTTTTTGTGTACCTGGTGGCTAATCACATCTCATAAAGCATTCACAGACTTTTGAGCATACAAGTCCTGAGTGCATGGAATCATAGACCATTTCGATGGTTAAACAAAATATACGAAATATCATGGCCTGGCGATTAAGAGCACCGCACCGCACTGGACTCATGCTCTGGTGTTTTCGAGACAGCAGAGTGGGGGTTCGAGCCCAGGTCTGGACACTTGTGCCCTTAAGCAAGGCACTTAACCATTATTGTTACGTCCTTCAAATGGGATGTAAAGCTGTAGGTCTTGTGTGTTGTGTAATGCAATGCACGTAAAAGAACCCAGTAACACTTATCGCTAAGAGAAGCGGTTTGCCCCGGTGTTTCTGGCCTCCTGTTAAAACTCCCCTGCTGAGTCCTTAGGAGAAGAACCAAGCTAGTACCAAGTACAGCTCAAAGAGCGTTATCTATAAGCAGTCACCAGTGCCTTCAGATTAAGTTCAGTGGTTCAATACAATTAACAAGAAATACCTGCCATCGCTTATCCCATCTTCAGGTTGATCGCCATCACTGCTACACCCGACCCCATTCATCTCAGACCCCGCCCCTTCCTCCAGCACAGCCACGCCCAGGTCGGCAGCCGCCCTGCGCAGAATCAGCACCAGCTCGTCGGTGTTCAGCTTGTTCAGGACGATCACACGGCATCGACTCAAGAGGGCGCTGTTGACCTTGAAGGAGGGGTTCTCGGTGGTGGCGCCGATGAGCGTGATTGTGCCCTTCTCGACGTGCGGCAGGAACGTGTCCTGTGCGTTAAGGTCATCAACGACAATAACTTTTTTAGACAATAATAAAAGGCTAAAACAATTATTATGTGGATTTGGACCTAGCACATACATGTACACCAATGCCCTGCTCTCCCAGCTAAGATTTCTTGCCCAATATTTTTCAAAGTTTTAGAAGTGAGGGCTATATGCTTATCCACCTAAAACCCCAAGTACTTAAGGAAATTAGCAAATTAAAAGGGGAGTCAGGTTGGCGTAGCAGTACTTTCCTCGCCTTCCACCGCTGTGACCCGGGTTCGATTCCTGCCTGGGCCAATATGTGGATTGGGTTTTCAGTGCCTACTTTATTCCGTGGGTTTTCCTCAGAATGTTCCTCTGGGATTTTCCTCCCACATCTAAAACTGTAATTTCTTCAATGTCTTCTACTAACTGGGCCCAATGGGAGACCAGTGGATTCTACTGATAAGCTACCCAGTTAAAAAATAAGAATTAAAAAAATATGAATTAAGTGTATCCACTGCTTGCTTATATAGTGATCTAACCGTACAAGGATTTGGCACACATCTTAGTTTTACCTGCTGCAGTTTATTGAAGCGATGGATCTCATCAATGAAGAGGATGGTCTTGCGTTTAGTCATCCTCTGCTCATTGGCTGCGGCAGCAACCGCCTCCTTAACAGTAGCAACTGTCGCTAACGTGGCAGACATCGAGACGAAGCGCGTCTTACCGCTCGCTTTGGCTCTCTGCGCTATAATGTTGGCCAGAGTGGTCTGAAACAAGACAAGCATTTTGAAAATCAAGCATTTTGAAATTGAAAGGAAACTCTGGCCACAGTTTAAAAGACATCGCAAATTCATGTATGATGATCAACACTTCTAGAAAGATAAATTCCGTAAGTCTAGGAAGTGACTGATTGAAGTATGGCTAACCATCTGTGCAGAAATGCTCTAATCTTTAACCCAACTCCCTACTGAGTTTTACTAAGAACAGAACCAAGTCCGCCAAAATCCACCACTACTATAGGTGGATTTTGATGGACTTGGTACTCACGGCTTGTCTGCCAAAATCCACAAACTTTTGATTGAGTTGGGAAGGTAAGGGTTAGTATCCATTCTTAGTATTTTACAGCCACATAAACAATGATCATTTTCCAAGGAATTAAGCCCATGAAATTTAATGATGCTGTATGGCCAACAACAGCGACCAGCTCCTCTAATTTGCATATTGCTAACCCGCCAATCAAAAGTCATAAGAACGACAATATTGCCAATCTCAGATTCTATTTCAAAGAAATTGAGGCAGCAATTGGACTATTGAGACAGCCACAGGTAAAAGAGTTGACTTGGCAAAAAAAACCTAATTCTCCAGGATTCCCGAGTCCTGACCTTTCCACACCCGGGCGGACCCCAGAATATCAACGATGGCACCACATCACTCTCCAGGAGCTGTCTGAGTAGGGACTGGTGACCAACCGCTGTCTCCTGCCCGACAAACTCAGCGAAGCTCAGGGGGCGAACACGCTCCGCTAGAGGCCTGAATTCCGTCTTTGTTGAGACAGATTTCTTGGCAAATGGCCCCAGGGGAGAGGGTTTGCTCCCTTGCGTAGAGGGGTTCATCAGTGGCGGAGAGGAATGTGACCTGCTGGACAAGGAAGGGGTCGTGGCATCTGAGGGCAATCTCCGAGAGTCATCATGTCTGGGTATCTCCGTTGCCACTTTAGTTTTCTTTTTGTTCGGTGTCAATCCATCTGTGTCTGCCTTTGACGATTTTCCGCCGGGTCGCAGTAAAGAGCCCCACTGGTTTATTTTCTTTCTCTTTTTGGATTCCTTGTCATTCTCAACCTCCTCTGATTTCTTGGAGTCCCTATTCTCTCCTTGTTCACCCTTCTCTCGGTCCTCAGAGGACAGACGAGCTCTTTTCCTGGATGGTGACAAGAAAGTTTCTGCTTCGCTGTCTGACTTCAGGTCATTTTCTGTGCCGTGTTCTTCAAGGAGACAACTGTCAATGTGTTTGTTGATTGACTGCATCGGGAACTCCCGGTTGCAGATTGGGCAATGGGCTAGTTGGGCTGACATCATTGTTCTGTACTACACCTGAAGTATGAGAGAAACAGACAACACAATTTGTCAATATTTAGTGCATTACGTTCTTAAGTTCAAAAATTTAAAAAACATCGAAATCAAGCAGCATTACTCGAGTTGAAATATTTATAACATTTGAAATTGTTTCTTAGTCCCAGATTCATGTCTTATCAAAATTTTTGCAATGACTGACCTTCAGTGATCATTTGATGATGAAAAAAGTGGCGTCAGGGTGCAACATTCTTTCCACTCACTGCATTATGATTTTTTTTAAAATGGAATCGGGAAATGTTCATTTTTTTAAAAAAGTTTTCACAACCATACCATCACCACAACTATGAACGTTTATAGACCTCCATGCTCTAGTCTGATGTACAACATGTACTTTAATTAGCCCAGGTTGGACGACGTCTTCATTGCATTTACGACTGCGTGTTGCAACCACAACGGAGTCCAACCTGGGCTAGCTACCACTGACTTTTTTGCTTGGGAGTAATGGGACGGTTACGTGCTCGATTTTCCCATTGAGATAGGAATATTATGCACTTTTACTAGTCCGGAAAGATCGGCATTAATACCTACCGGACGGGAAAGTTCTGCTGGTACGGCATCACTTATTTTCGGCGCGCGGCAACATGTTTTTGCACGTGCGCGCTTCCATCCAGCTAGTATAGCGCCCTCTGCTGGAAGTCGACTAGCCGCTGGGCTGGCGGTGATATTGTGGGTTTCAAGGAGATAGTTTGTTTTCTACGGCGCTCCATGAGTGCCATCCACTTCTTTATTTACTCAGATAATTTATCACGTCATGTTGACAACCTAGTGTTCAAAACCTCCAACCCTAAGGTTGATGTTCTGAGAACGGCCCCTAAACCTACTTGGCTAACTATCGGCTCGCACTATACTGTGGGCATTTCATGATATATAAACCTGATATTATAATAAACCTGCCGGTCACAAAAGAGTGCTGACGTCAAAAGTCAGGTGTCTTTGTCGTCAACCCCCCCCCCCCCCCCCCCCCGCTCTCAGGAAAACAAAAAAGTCGGTTGTGACCGTGCCCGGGGTTCAAACCTCCAACGCCAAGGTTGATCTTCTGAGGACGGCACGTATACCCTACCGACTTGGTCACCGGCGCGGCTCGCACTATATACGGTACATCTCACCATAGAGCAAGGACCCACCAGTCCGGCACAAAATTATAGTGGAAATCGGCCGTACCGTGCTCGCCTTATGCCCAAAATAGATTTTAATTATGTAGCCGGCTTGTTATGAACAAGGAATAGCCGCTGATTTTTGTTTTCGAAAGAATACAAAAGAGTAATTGCCACCAACTTACGTCAGTTACTTTTGTAACTGAAACTCACGAATATGGCACACAGTGCCCAAGGAATATCACAATAATAATTCAATGTTGGTATGGGAAGATGTATCCCTGGACTATACGATTTGTATTCGAAAATCGCCGATTTCGACATATCTTATGATGGGCTATCCTAATTTTTTCACCTTTCCCATCTAAAAAAATATATATATTCAAATGAACCACATAGGGAAACTGACTAGGTGAATTATAACAATAATATTGACGAAGTTGAACAATGAAATTGACTGGAGCGGGGCTTGAACCTGCGACTTCCGGATAACCGTTCCGGTGCTCCACCGTTACTGAGCTATCCTATCTGAGTTCCCCAATAAGTCAATATCTTTGTTCACTGGTCTGCAAGGGGCGCTTGAAGCCATAAACCAGTGTGCCATTCGCTCTTTGCACACTTCCGCCATGGGCATGCACAGCCTCGATCTGGCAACCTTACACAATGACTATAGCCGGTCCAGTGATTCCCGTGTGGGGGTTCAGATCACTGAACCGGCTATTCTTATTGTGTAAAGTTGCCAGATCGAGGCTCTGCACGCCCAATGGCGAATACAGCCAGGGATCACCCCCACAATCACGATACAGACCTGGGTACATACAGCAACCGGGGATCGCTGGGGGAGTGAAAGCCTATCCAAGCGGTACAACGGTGTATACGCATTATGTATGCATACGGTATATTTCTGGTGCTGGTATACTGTCCGTGCGTCAGGCGCCCCCTACGGATCATTGAATACAATTTTTTCAGAGAAACCTAAATATCGAAATGCCGGTGTAGCCTGATTTAGGTATGAAATACGGACTCATTAGTAGTATTGCACACGTGCAAGCAAAGATAATCAGGAAGTGACCGGTCACGCGAGAGTGTTTGACCTTCCTTCCTCCATGGTTTGACCATGGAGCTATAAAAAGATAGCTCCATGATTTGACCAAGAAAAGGGTATAGGCGCGGCCAGGGGTCTGATTTTGACGCCGTATTTCAGAGATAGGGCAAGGTTGCATCTGTTGCCAAGTTCGGGCAAGGACCATTAGTCGACTAGTGGTTGATTTGTGACGTACCTTACGCCTGCGCACTAATAGCAAATTGCGAACGTCTCTAGTCGAACGCTGGTCAAAATGTCATTGCAAAACGTCTGGATCCTGGCTCCCTGCTGTACGTTATGAACGCACGCGGCTATGGTTACCAGCGATGCAACCAGCCCCAGTAGGTTGGTTCCAAATAGTCGACTAGCAAAGGCCAAGTTCGGGCAAGGACCATTAGTCGACTAGTGGTTGATTTGTGACGTACCTTACGCCTGCGCACTAATAGCAAAGTGCGAACGTCTCTAGTCAAACGCTGGTCAAAATGTCATTGCAAAACGTCTGGATCCTGGCTCCCTGCTGTACGTTATGAACACGCGGGGCTATGGTTACCAGCGAAGCAACCAACCCCAGTAGGTTGGTTCCAAATAGTCGACTAGCGTAGTCAACCATCGTCGACTAGACAGAGTTCGGGCAAGCGTTAGTCGACCAATGGTTAACTATAGTCCTTGCGCGAACTTGCCCATTTGAATTCTACTTTTCAAAGAAACGTAATCGTTGAATTTTATGTTATCAGGCAAACGTTTCTGTGTTTCCTCGAAAATAAAATATCTCATAACGCGGGGAACTTGGATGGTCATAATTGCGTAGCCCCATATGGATGACTTTCTGCCGAAAAGTGGCAGCACGATGAATACGGTGGCGCACTGCACGTGCACCGTGCGTTGATTCGGCGTCAGTCTCAAGTTGTTGCGTCGTCCGTGCATCAGGGGTACGTTCGAGTCATATCATGCGAACGTGTTTGCGTTACTTTGGTATGCAAGGCCCTGCGCGGACGGAACGTGCCAGCAACCCAAACTTAAAACGATCATCGGAAAACTGTGATCAAAACTGATGGCGGCGCCCTATGTAGCTTTTAAAATCCTATAAAAGTTAATTGTGACTGAAAGTGAAATGTTGCCAATATTAAATAAACGTTCATTGCTCGCGTATTGGAAAGCATAATTATAGCAACGGACTATATTCGGAAGACCGTTCACACAAACGTTGCCAAACGTTGTCATTGAGTGGAACTCACCCAAGATAGCATTTCCACGTGATGAACTCCCGCGAACTTTCCGAAACCAAATTCATTTTGTCTGGAATCAAATAATATAAACACGTACTGTCTGGGCTGCCACCTGTACTAATCCATAAAAGAAAACAAATATCTATGATTTTTAAAAAATATTTTCTCTTACCACCAGAAAAAAAAATCCTTTTAAAAAGCCAGGTTTCTTCCACATTATAGACATTTCTGGCAGAAATTGTTGAAACAATTTTACGGATCAAGGAATTCAAGAACTGGAACTTTAATTTTGGAAGTAGACCCTTGCTTAATTCTGACATCACATGCAACATTGAGGGCATCACGTCTAATTATTTTGTTCCTCTGTGGCACTATAGGATATTTGATAAAGACCGAGTACATTATATAGACTCATTGTACTTTCTAAAAAATGAAAAAAAAATGCTGTACCACGAAGTGGCGTATCCCAATACGCCACTTTACACGCTAATTCCCTGCTATGACGTACGTCACAAACGAGCGTGACATAAAAAAAATGGAATTTAGCGTTTCACGAACCGGCGTATCTCCGTATCTGGCACACGGCCACTATTACGCGCGTTGCATGACATACGATAAACATGATAAAAATCTGTTTCACGAAGTGTGACGAATAACTTTGGAGCTGAATTTCTCAAAAACTAAGTAACTCAGATGTACACGGATTACATACAATAAAGTTTAATCTATAATTTAATAGCAAAAACGAAACAGCTTGAATTCTTACACATGGCGTATATGGAATGAGCCTACAAAATAATGACCAACTTTAAATCGGTTTTTCTCGAAACACACAAAAAATGCGATACGTCGGTTCGTAGTGCAATCGACGTTTCAATTTCATTAAGAACAAAAACTGTCCTCAGCGAGGGCGCACCGTCATGCCGTCGCCACGATTTGTTCTAGGGGGTGCAAAGCACATTTCCGGCCCCCTCAAAATCCATATCCTTGTACTGTCTTTAGCGTAATATTCCCAAATTATCATATATTTTTTTCGAGGATGGGCGGGAGACATTTACCCCCCCCCCTGATACCCCTGCAGCGCAGACGGCCATTTTGTTAAATGTTTATTAAAGTTATAGCAAATATGACTTGACACCTCTTTTCATTTTATTTTTTCTCCCTCCCCCTTACCCCATCCTGCATGGCCTGGCAACGTCCATGCGCACCGTACAGTGTTCAATCCAGAGACATCGGCGTCCGATCAAAGCCACCAATAATATTACGTTGCATACGCTATTTTCATTTGCGTGGTTTATTCACGCAAGTTGACAGGCGATCATGCGCACGCATCTTCTTCTTTTTTAATGCACGCATCACACAGGGGAAAAAAATCAGCTTTGTGGCTGTACTGTATATTTATGCATTGCAATACGGTCGACCGGTCGTACGTACGTACCTACGTAGCGATGAAAACGTAGCTGCAAAACGTATAGCATACATTTTCACTGACGTACGTGACATGTACACGTATTTATGCATGGATTCTACACACTACACATACAATGTACACGCAGTGCACTGCCAGCTATCAAAATTCGTCGAATGTTTACATCACATCCGAGTGAACGTTTTCATCGAAAACAGGAGCCTTTTGGAATAAATTCTTCCGACCAACACTCCAGAACAAGCAAAATCTATCCATAGGATTTACATGTCGGAGAAAGATGCGTACATTTCACGGTGAGACGTAACTGTTCGGTTTTTGCGGGTTTCATTTTGATCGTACTCGTAGTCGTAACCTACGTCCCATATTTTGTGGTTCCCGACATTTTGTCACACGTCTGGGGTGTATCGCGAAGTCGGTTGTTTGCTGCATGCTACGTGCTGGTTCGTGATCGCCAAGCTTGTTTTGGTTTCACTGTCACTGTGGTCAGATCTAAAGTTCCTCTTTTATTGATACTCGATTGTTTTCCTTCACGGCAATTTGGAGATTTCACCGAGACAGTGAATTTATCGGTGTGAATCACGGCTGAAAAGTTGGGCATTGGTTTTGGCCGTCATTTTTTGCCTTCGCCCAATTCATCGCCAACAACAACATCCACCACGGCGGGGTTTCTGAAGGCTGGTATGGCACAGACGAATGGGACGCTGTACTGTGGTGAACTTAAGTACAAAATGCTGCACGAAGGTGCCATACAAGTGTGCAGGATTAACCACGCCAGCAATGTGGTGAACAAGATAATGAACATGAAATTCCTCCGGAGGTGGGAAACGCACCAGATTGTCCTGGGAGAGAGTACTCTATATTCATTAACAGTAAGTACACGAAGCACTACAATTCACACAAAAATACTGCGAAATTAACATGAACATAATTAATTGTAGGGCCTATACTACAAGTCTGGAATTTGGAAACAGTTAATTGACTCAATTTGATTTGATTGATTTAGCTTTCAGAAATGACACTTGTTTTTACCATTTTAACCTAGGCCTAATTCAATTATTTGCCATGTTTCCATTTTTTTTCTTTCTTTGTTTACACTTGGTGAAAGTAACTTTCTATTTCTTTGCAGAAATTTCCTTGAATTTGATCATAACCCTTCAGTTGCCAACTTAATAAGGTGTTTCATGGCAATATGTGTCATCTTGCCGACGGGGCAATTTTAGTTAAACGCATTGCTGTGTGCGCACCGTCGATGGAAAACTTTGGCACTTCCAAGTCATCATGCGGTCATTCCAACATGCGCCCTCATCTAGTATGTGTCTAGCAACGCCTGTTCTTTTTGCCCCTTGAACAAGATGACACATATTACTGTGAAACACTTTATTCAGAATATTGGACTTAATTGAAAGATCGATAAGCGTATAATCGATGGAAGGGATGTTTAAAAAAATCATGTTTAATTTCGTACAAGTGGAGGATCTGCAGTAAGTGTACAGTGAGAAAGTTAAAGTTTTTTTTTGGTAAGGTCAAAGACATGTTATGTTCTCTGATATTCATGATAAGTTGTAAAAGTCAGGGTTTGATTATGGTTGAAAAGAACTTGAATTGTTGCATCCTACCGATGTTATGACATTATAATAAAATATGGTAGACCACATAGCGCAGAAAAAAGTGTACAACTCTAGTAATTATAATTTGTATTGATACAATGATAGACAAACACAATTTTCTTACAGTAACCTTATGTAAGAAAATTGTTTTCACAAAAACTGTTACCCTTTCAACAAAATTCATCAGACTGTTTTTGTTGAATATAGGACCAGATGCCCAATTGAATTAAATCTTTGTGTACATGTACATGTACACATTCACTGCTTATTGCCTGCAGCAACATATTCAACATAATGATAGTTGATACAGGACAGAGGCACATGTATTGGACTCGTGTATGACCAAAAAGAGTGGAAATTTTAGCAGAGTATGCCATGTGATTGACGTCACTCTCTTAAAATTTAATGACCCAAGCAATTGAGATTTTTATCAGCAATGCTGAACCCCAACCTGCCACAAAGCTGGGTTACGTGCCTTGCCTTTTATTAAAATTAAACATGGGACAGCGTGCACGGGTTATTATCTGAATTAATTTGTTGAAAAAAAAAAGTGTGTGTGCTGTGCGTCCCTGGCAAAGAGAGAGCCAGGAAATGCATGGTTTGATGACTTTCTGTGAATATTTGACAGAATCTCTCAGCAGATCGGTAATTATGAAAATGAGGTGCTGTAAAAATTGGTTGCCTGGGACGTAGGAGGAAACGAAACCATAGAATTTAAATTGTAGTTACTGACTTATGATGAGTAGTCGTAAGCGTGAAACTACTTTGTAAAGCTGGGGTATTGCACAATACTATAGCACGTCTGTTTTGAAATGGCTCATTTAGCATGATTTGTTTGATTGTGAAAAGTGGGAAACAAAAAGTACTTATAATTTATCATACTCAGTGCTGCTTAGAATTATATCATACTGCCGTAAATTGACATCTGAAACAGTGTGAGGTATGATTTGAAGTAAATTGAAAGGAAAAATAGAGTAGGCTACATTTGTATTTTCTTGTGATTCAGAGGCATGGATGTACTGTACATCCTTATTTCCTTTTTTTGAGGGGGTGTGTGAAACTCTTTTTGTGGCCCCTGGAGCAGCTGAATATTTTGATGACATTTCGCTGTCTCATTTCGATGACATACATCTTCTGCTGCTATTTTCTTTCAATGGAAAATCGAGACCTTTCAGTCCATCATCAGTGTGTGACTAAGTGAGTCCCTAAGGTTTACTTCTGAGCTTTTCTTCATGTAGTGAAGGACCCAACTAAGGATTCCTACTTTGTTATCATAGAGCACGGATGTTTATATATTAAAAAAAAAAGAGACAGTGTCATTAAATTTGGATGGAAGTGGCAATATATCACAGAAAAAAATATGGTTGTATTTTATGTACATTTGTTGACCTGTATGTTATATTGTGGTGCCAACTTGCAATAAATCTGTGCAGCGATGAAGAAAATCTTTAAATGTCAAATCTCTAGGATGTTATGCACAGTTGCAATTTTTAAATTTTTTTTAATGGAATTGATGGCAGTCAATATAAAAAAACGGGCATATTAGTCATTTTGCTGCGGAAGAAATCTTTCTATCAGGGAATTCCAGCGGGAGTGAGAGTACTTGGTCTTATCGGCCGATCCAGCATGGTCCCTTTACTGAACACAAGATAAACACTGATACATGGGTTTGACAGAGATGCGTGATAAGAAACGCTGACAGTATGGAGACAGTTCAGTATGTCAGTGCAGCCATCTACATGTAGATGCGTATTTTTTTATGCGTTGTGTGCTGAGTACTAGTGCAACTGGAATCAATTGCAGTGAGTTTTCATATATCTGAACTAGATGTTCATCAGCTGAAACCAGTTGTGAATATTTTTTTCTGCTACATTTACTTCTTGTAGGGAGGGATGAGAGACAAAAATAATTGAAATCATTCAGTACTAAAAACAAAAATAACCAAAAACACACACACACACACACACCCAGACTTGTTTCACATATCTAGTGTGGACTTTCCTTTCTTTTCGTGTAGTTAAGGAACACCAGTGGAAAAACTCATTTTTCTCAAACTGTGAAAACTCTTACAACCCAATTTTTTTTCAATGATTCCCTTTAGTGTTTCTCTTCATTCTGCTACAGATAAACCTAACCCAAAAATGCCTCTAAACCTGTTTTCCAGAAATGGGGAAACACTGTGTGGACGTGGGCAAGTCCACACTTCGTCACTGCTACCTACATTATGTGGACGTCTTTTGTTCGGAAGTCCACACTGCGTATGTAAGACAAGCTCACGTGCGCAGGTTTATTTATACTCTAACTTTTTTGCAACAGCTCTCATTGGTTTTGTACACGTTTTCGAATCGAGGTCGTCCTCGATTTGGTTCCTGTCCTCAATTCATCTATGATGTTGCACGTGTGTGTCCTCGCCTCCTCGGCTTACACAGCCCATTGAGAAACCTATAAAAACAACTATATTCATTCGAGTAACCCCAATGTGAAATGATTTTATTCAAGATCATTGTCGGGGACATGTTGTCTCAGGAACATTTGGCAGTGTGCCCGACCCTTTCTTCGTACTTGCTCATAAAAATGCATCTGATTGCCCTTTGAAACTATCTAATCATCTGGCAAGTATGTAAATTCCAGTTTTGTTGCGTGTATATTTACGTGTATGTCTGAGGCTTTGCACTTTCATGCATCCTGCTTTCCCGTGATACTTCAGGAAGTGGTTACAGGCAGGTCACAATTGTATGTGCGCATCAACACTGTTTATCCAAAAGGAAAAGATAAGTAAATAACAAAGATTTAAACGGCTGTTGATTTCCTCAGTTCTAAGTGTATTTTTGGAAAAATGTTGCAACCTGACGCCACATTTTTCTTCATATATCATCTCAATGAAGTAGTACCGGTACTACAATGAAGGTCATTCATTGCAAAAATGATGGAAAGACATGAATCTCGGACTGAGAACCATTTCCAATCTTGTTAAGAAAATGTTCTTGACTCTCCATAGACTTTGTACACAATCGCGGAAGTGACATCAGGTTGCAACATGTTTCCCGTATTTTTTAATTAATAAAGGGATACTGCACAAAGAAGACTGTCACTAATGTCATTGCATTTTTGCCACAAAAATGAATAATGTTGGGCAAGAACTAAAGATTTGAAGATACTGTATAATTGTTAGTGTCTTGTCGAGAAATGCGGTGTACAAAATCTATGCACATGTACATGTACCTGTAAGACAACACCAGAGAACCTAGTATTCAGATACTATAATATCATTGAGATGGCATGAGAAATTGTGTGCATGTACAATGTACATGTACGTGTATACAAAATGTATACATGTACATTTACGTGTTCATGTTTGTACCAGTACAATGTTCAAAATGTATACTTCCTGATTAATATTGAAATGACTCAGTGCCCTGGATTAGAAAAAAAAAGAAGTCTTCGCAAAACAAATGTTATACATACGTGTATTTACTCTAAGTGGTCAGTTCTTTCTTTGTCACATCCCAGTCATTAAGTTAGTTTTTAACATGTGGATGTACCTAGGTACTTAAAAAACAATGGTTAAAAGAGATAAATGGGTCTGTTTTATTAAATTATAGTGACAATTCCATAGATGTACACAGTGCTTTAATCAATAAAGAAGAGAGGTATTGGAGAAAACAGAAAAGTTGTATACACTGTACGTGTACACATATATAGGTTGGTACTTTCACATGTGATGCATGTACACGAAGAATCAAATTTTGCCATTGTAGTAAACATGCACGATCTTGCGTGTGATATCAGGGATGAATTTAGCAGCTGCTAGTCCTGCTCCTCGCCAAGAAAATAAAGCCCAGATTGTGTTACCAATTTGCCGTTTTCCATGCCTCGGCTACAAATCAGTAATGGAATACATCGACGTCTTATAAGCTCCCTTGTTGAAAAGTAATGAATGAGATGTCCTGAATGGCTGTCGACGCTAGGGGCAAACATCACGCATATCAATTGGGGGCATATCATATTTTATTCGTTCATCAGTACCGTTTGGTTGATTGGCGTTATGGAGAACAGAGCTGGCTAAGTTGAACTGCAAACCATAATCAGGATCAATGTAGGCTTCGTTCACTGTTGCACTTAAACATCAGTCACATTAATGATCGCTCAGATCATCCCGGGGTGATAATCGCAAACTGAATCAAATGTATGTCAGAACTAGAACATTCAACAACATTTTTTTTTCCCCAGGACTATCAAGAATTGGAACAGTCTCCCACCCT